AAAGCCGATCATAAATCAAATCCCTTTCTTTTTTTAACTCACATCTTTTCGTTTTGAAAAATTCTTGCGCAAAGTGGAACCGTAGATCGTTTCTTGCTAAATTTTTTCCATATTTCCACTCAACCATTTCCAAATACCATTCCTTTTGTGATAAAATCTGCATTCAAATCCAATTTCGGCTGATTTTCCCTTCCCCGCCAATCGATATTCTGTTTGACTTTGATGTTGAGCTTCTCCGTTTCTTGAGTCTCCAAATTCCACATCATTCTTCGATAATCTTCGTTTGGATCTAAAAATTTACATTTGAATATTGTCCAAAGCTCAGCACAAGTTGGCACTACAAGTTTAGGCGGTTATATCGATTTATCTCAAGTCCTTGTAAACGTACCAATTCCACTTGTCCCAGGTAGGTTCATATCATCCAATATTGGTACATCTTTCTCGTCTTTATTCTAAAACAGTAAATACATACTTATTGGGTGTTTTATTGGTTGTTAATGTGTTGCGCCTTATATGAAGGCAGATTAAGTTGAAAATGTGTCAAATTAATTAAAGTTTGTTATATTTTTGTTTCTATAACATTTTTGACCTATATTTCAATTTTTAGCTCGATCGGTCGGCTATAAGAAAAATTAGGGCCATTAGAAGCTAAAGAAATCAAAGCGTCTGACACTATATATATTATCTTATGAAATCGTGCTTAAAATGTTTCACATCTCAAAACTCTTCCTCAAATAATTTTGCTTTTTCGATGTTAAGGTGATAAACCAATTCTTGCTTGAACTATCATAGAATAAAGTTTCAATTGCTTTAATTCTCGCCATGTTGAAAGCGAGATGAAATAAGCTTATTTTGGGTATTTTAGAGGATTCCAAAACTAACATTAGGCCAAAAGCTCAAGCAAAGCAAAAAGTAATAATTTTAACTTTATGAACCTTTGTAAAGCACCAATAACTAATTGAAATCACTGAAAAGTTCAGTGGCTTCATTTTTAATCACCAGCCTTTATGGAAAAAAAGCATCTCCGTGCCAGAGGCTTTTACAGAGTGACCAAAAACAACCCGTCCTTTTTTTCTAGGCTCATCCTGCTGTTACAGTACCGAGCAAAAGTCTTGCAACATCACTTTTTCAAAAAAATCGATGAAATTTTTTTATAGAAAATGCCACCCGTTCGTAGGGCTTTTTTGTTTTTAATTAGAATAATATATGTACACTTTATTTACAAAAACAAATTTGAAGTTCAGCGTAAAACAAAAAAGTAAATGACAAAACTACTAAAAAATACCCTAAAAACTGGGTGCAAAAGTCTTGCAACATTCTATGTTTCTCATTTTTATTGTTTTCAAATTGATTAATTTACACTAATTTTTGTTTTTTTCAGATGCCAGGTACCTAATTGACGACTCCCGAAAGAGAAAAAACCATGAAAGCAAGAAAAAAAAGAACTTCTCGAGCCGTTGTCTCCGATCTCTTCAAATGCGATCCATCGACCGTTTCTCGCATTGTTTCAAAAGCAAAAATAACTGGACTTATGCACCGAAGAAAGAAGAAAGGACGGCCAAGAAGAACAACAGCAAAAGAGGATCGAATACTTGTGATGGCTTCCAAGAAGGATCCGAACATGACATCAACTGAGGGAGCTCGGCTGATCAAGGATGTTGCAAACAAGGATATCTCTCGATGGACCGTTTCTCGACGATTGACTCAAGCAGGACTGTATAGCCGGAGGGCTGTACGAAAGCCTTTGATGACCGCTGGCCACAGGAAACAACGGCTTCTATTCGCCAGGACGTACCAAAGTTGGACAAAGCAGGATTGGGTCAACGTGATTTTTGTCGATGAAACAAAAGTGGATATCTTTTCTCCAAAAAACAACCACTTGATCAGACGACCCATTGGAAAGTGAATACTCCTTAAATATGTGCGACCTACAATGCGAGCTGGCAGAGGATCAATCATGTGTTTTGGTAAGCCTTATTTCTAATACATGCATTAATTTGTCTTTTTCTAGGGGCGATGACAAAAAATATGGCAGGTCCGCTCGTCCTCGTCCGGTCAACCATGAATGCTCTCCAGTCTATAGAAATACTAGAAGGATGTCTACTTCCATTTGCTCAGGATTACATGGCTCATGGATGGTTTCTCTACCAGGACAATTCGCCGGTTCACAAGAGCAAGCCCATGATGGGTCCCACGGTGAGTCTCTCAAATGGAGGAAAAGCCGATCTCCCTGGATGGTTTGTCCTTAATAATGTTTGGTTGGTCAATGTGCCCCCTATGTCGCCTGATTTAAACGTTATTGAGAATTTATGGGCTTACGTGAAGACAAAGTTACGAGGAAAAGACTCTCACACAAAAGTTGACTTATGGTTCTACATACGAAAAGTTTGGAGCTTAATTCGCCTAGCAATTCTTCACGAATTAGTCGACTCAATGCCTAAACGACTTAATGAAGTGATTTTGGCAAAAGGTGGACCGCTTGAATATTAATTTTTGGTGTTTCTGTATAATGTTGCAAGACTTTTGCACCCAGTTTTTAGGGTATTTTTTAGTAGTTTTGTCATTTACTTTTTTGTTTTACGCTGAACTTCAAATTTGTTTTTGTAAATAAAGTGTACATATATTATTCTAATTAAAAACAAAAAAGCCCTACGAACGGGTGGCATTTTCTATAAAAAAATTTCATCGATTTTTTTGGAAAAGTGATGTTGCAAGACTTTTGCTCGGTACTGTATTTGTAGACCAAAACGATTAATTTCTCTTTAAATGAAAATTACATCGCTTTCTGTATATGTTCAAGATTTCATGACCATCTTCATGATAGATAATTTTTTATGAAGGCTCAAAAATGTCTGGTCAAAAAATAACGAGCCGCAACTTAAATTTAGGGGTTCCTTTATCAATGAGCTTATAGAAAATATTAACGCATTTAATGTTTTTTGAACTGAATTTACTTAAAAATAGCAAAAACTTAGCTTTAAGATAAAACTGAAAAGAAAACTATTTTGTGGGGTTTTTTTCAAAAATTCCGAATTTGAGTTGCGCCTCGGTATTTCTTGACCAGCCATTTTTGAGCGTTCATAAAAAATTATCTATCGATGATATGATCATGAAATCTTGAACATATACAGAAAACGATGTGAGTTCTCATTTAAAAAAAGAAATTAATCGTTTTGGTCTACAAATAACAGCAATATGAGCCTAGAACAGATTATTAGGACCGGTTATTTCTGGTCAGCTGTATTTATTTAGCTTCTAATGGCCCTAATTTTTCTTATAGCCGACCGATAGAGCTAAAAATTGGAATAGAAGTCTAAAAATGTTATAAAAATAAATATATAACAAACTTTAAGTAATTTGACCCATTTTCAACTTAATCTGCCTTCACATAAGGCGTAGCACACATTATGGGACACCCTGTATTGATTGGTCAGTTTTAAAAGTAAGTAATCTAAAACATTGAAAACCCATAATGCGTAAAACTGGCACTGACTTGAGTGAAAAGCGAAACCGACTCATCCTCACTGCCATTTGCCCCCATCTCCATTTCCGCTCGAGATTCCGAATCGCCTTGTAGAATTCTCAAAAATGTTTCCTCAATATCTTCATCTTTGATATTTCGATTCATTCCCGAGAATTCGGCGTGTAAATCGAAGCAATCATCCGAAAATCCTTCTTCGATCGGCTCTTCTTTCACTTTTTTGGGAGCCATCCTGAAAATGAAACAATAGAACAGTAAATAAATATAGAAAAAGTAAATAGAACAAGTCGCTCAGTATAAACTTAAGAAAAGATTCATCTCAACGACAAGCAAAACTAAAATTCTTTGACTTTGAAAGCTGAAAATTTGATAATGCAAAGTTGGTAAGCAAATAACGCGTTACGGTTCCAAACATCCAAATGCTGGGTCAAAATCTTACCCAAACGGCTAAATATTTTAACCCAGAAACACCAATTCTAAATGATTAGCCAATCAAGAATAACAAGACGATTCGCGGTTGGGTTGGATTGACTAGTTTATAAAGAAAAGATAGTTAGATTTTGGTGTTTGGTGGTTGGGAGGGGCCCACTTTGGCTTGCTTATTCGAATCTCTTGTTTTGAGCGGTTCGTGTCGATACTTTTTTCTATTCTGAAGAAAGAGATATCTGCTGAAGCGATTGGTGCCAATTTAAGCACGTTTTTGATAATCCTATTCGATGATTTGTGTCCTAGCCTGCTTTACATTAACCGAATGTTATCTTAAAGTTGATTACACTTGGACAGCTGCAATACTAACTTGAAACATGTTGAAAACACTCTAAAAGTAGCACCAATCGCTTCAGCATATATAATTACCCCAGAATAGAAGAAAAGTATCGACACGAATCGCTCGAAACACTAGACTCGACGAAGCCAAGCCAAAAGTGGCCCCTTCCAACCACCAAAGCACCTAGATTTTTAATGACTTTATCGGTGATATGAAAGACACGGGTCCAAAGAAAACAAAGCGGGAAGAGCCGAGAAAAGTACAAAAACACTAAAACTTTAACAAATTTTCAAAGAAACAAGGAACGAGGGGTGGGAACAATACGAGGGAAACGAGAGAAGGGAAATCTTAACAATAAACACAATTTTATAACGAGATAGAGAAAAGGGAACCTATAGGGGCAGAAGACAGAGCAACGATCCCTAAAAAGAATGAATTTGAAAGGGATGGAACTTCAGTTTATAGAAGAAAAGGGAGACGCCGTCTCGATACGGAAGCTTTGGTGTATTTTAGAATTTTGGATTGGAAAGCTGCCTCGAACTGTGGGAATTGGGGTTTTACTACCATTCAAAGAAAGCTCAACTTCTTTCTAAAACTTTAAAAGTTAAGTACATTTAAAACTAGGCAATATTAAAAGTCTATTTTCTGGTGTTTCTTTGTTAAAATTCTGATTTTAACAAAGAAATAAAGCTTATTTTAGTTAAAAAATGGTCGAAAAATGTCTCAATCGATCCTCTTTTTGCTTTTTTTTTTGCTGTCCGCCACCAATTACCACATGAAAAAGGCGAATTGGTGACTATAAACTATGATTGTCAGTAACAATATCTTTTTAAATTTAATCATAATGATAATCACTTATGAAAAAGATTGGAAATTCTCAAGGGCTTGATGTTTAAAGGTTAAATCTCCAAAAAAAACTCAGCCACCAATTACCACACGAAAATGACGGCTA